CTGCCGCCGGCAGCAACGCGTCCGCGGTCGCCTCGGCGCTCGCGGCCGCCGCAGACGGCGGGGTGCCGCCGCCGTCGCCGCCGCCGCCGCGGCCGTGCGCGTCGCCGCTGCCGCGGTCGCCGAGGGGCGGCGGGCAGCAGGCGCAGCACGCGTGGCGGGCGCAGGCCGGGCTCTAGCAACCCCAGGAAATCCGATTTTGCAGGCGGCGCAGCAGCTGCAAGGATGTCATTCTTATCAGCATCATGTCAGCATCAGCACGACACCAAAACGGGCAACAGTAGCCGGACGAGCAGCACAGCAGCAGCGACGACAAGAAACGCTGCATCGGCGCCGCGGCGCTTGTGATCAAGAAGGGCCAGCTCAGGGGTCCCGAGCGCTGAACGCCCTCGGAAGGGGCATTAGCGCAGCGCTTCGGTCGAGGAACTCGCGGGGCGGCCTGGTGGGCGTGCGGCCTCCGGCGCTTTGCCAATCCGGCAGTGCCGCAGAGGCCACGCGCGCGTGCTTCCCGCCTTCCTAACCAGGGCCCCTCCCTCATCCCCAGAAAGCATGCGTGCCTCGGCACTGAGAGAGCCCGGGCAAGCCGCCTCTTGCCATCCCCCTCCACCCCAACCCCACCGCAAACCGGCCCGTGGAGGCAGCGACCACAGCCGTGTACCTGTACCTGCAAACCGCCTCCTGTTTGCGCCCCCCGTGAGTCGCGCCGCCGGCAAGCGCGTTCGGAGTTGCCCCGCGCTGGCGGTTGGCCTGACCGCGAGTGCACACGAGACGGGCCACGGCGCATGTGCGTGCTCGTGAGCTCTGACAGATTCTACGGCTTGCAATTGCCTGGCTTTGTGTTTATATGCTGTCTTTTACACTTGCCCCCCTTTCCTCCGCCCCTTGTATATAGACACTGTCGCGGCCGCCGCATCGCCGCATCGCCGTATCTATAGCAACCCAGAGCGCGTGTTTCCGCACCGCCCCGCCCCTTTAACGCGCCGCCGCCGCCGCCTGCGTGCCGCGCCCGCCACGCACGCGCCCCCGCCCCTTCGCGGCCTGGCGCTCACTTGCCTTTTGCACATCTGACCTCGTATGAGGGCTGGCAGGATATTGTTCCCTTCCAAGCGTTGCCTTCATGGCAAGGGAAGCTGCAGAGAAGCTGAACGGGCACCCTGGCGGTGCCGGCGCGCCGCACGGCGCGCTGCGACAGGCGCCTCCCCTAAATGTTTCCGACGCGGCGTGGGCGGGCGGGGGTCGGCTCCTGTGCCCTGTGTGCCGCGTGCACCCATCCTCCCCGCATCCCCTCGCTTCGCTTTTGAGCTGGACACACGTGCAATAATGAGGCCGCCAGACCATCCCACCCACGACCGTGCATGTGCGTGCATGTGTGAGCATGCTCACATGCATCCACTGTCAAGACGTGTGATTTATCCGCCCTTCTTGCGTGGCGCACGTGTGCCGCCCCTGCGCCCATGCGGCGCCCGCCCGCCCTTCCCTTCACTCGGTACGAGAGCTGGGCTGCGCGCGAGCCCATCCAGTGCTCGGGCTTGCGCGCCACCTGGGCGCCGTCTACTGCGCTGACTGGCTGTGTGGCTAAGAGCTGAGTGTGTTGATCTCATACGGCCATGCGGGGTTTTGGATGAGGCCAATCTGTAATTATGATTCGTGCCAGCCAACTCCAATGCGAAAGGGTCGGCATGCTGACAGGCCCCAGTGGGCTTTACGGGGAGCGTGCGCGCGCGTGCCTGTTCAGGCGACAAGCACGCAAGATGATTATCGGCGCAGCTGCTGTCGTGGGCCTTGCTTGGCAGCTGCTCCCCCAGCAGCTCCCCTGGCCCCGCCGACTCTGACGGTCCTCGACGAGGCCATCACAATCAGGCCGCCAAAATCAGGCCGCCACCCGGGGCACTCTGCTTTGCGCGGTGCATCAACCGCGTTTATCGCGGAAGCTGTCATCGGTGAGGGTGCTGGCTGGCGTCCGAGGTGCATCAGCGGCCACTGCACGGGGACTGGGCAACGGGGCAGGCATGCGCATTCAAAGCTCGGGGACTGCTGATCCCTGTGATTTGTGTCGCTCCCAAAGAGTCAAGCAGCCTTCTGCTTATCCCCTGGTACCCGTTTGGTTCACTGGGTGTGACGCCCTCGCAGCCCAGTGTTGATGTGAGCACGCTGCTGATGTGTTCAGTGGTCCTGCGAAGCGGGGGCCGCCAGAACGTGCGCGACAGCCTCGAGCCGTGTTTACAAAGGTGAACAGAGAGACAACCGTGCGGGACACAAAAGCGGGCCGGGGTCACCCGCGCGGCCGAGGCCCACCCCGCGCCGTCCGGCCCGACCGCGCCGCCCCGAGAGAGCGCAAACAAATGCAAAAAGGCGCGGCCCGGCGGCCAGCCGGCCAGCCCACAAAACAGCGCGGCGGCGGCGAGCCCGTGAGGTGGGCGGCGGCATCCAGCCGTCACGGGCCGCCACAAGCCACCGCGGCGCGGGCCGCGGGGCCGCAGGGCTGGAGGGCGACGGCGCGTAGGGGCCGCAGGCGTGCGGCAGAGGGTCTACTGTGCCTCGCCCTCGGCCGCGGCGGCGCCCCCCTTCTTCTTCTTCTTGTTGGTCTTGAGGCCTGACGGGGGGGAAGGAGGGGGGGCGGAGGGCATGCAGGTCGCGCTCCACCGGCGAAAGAACTGAGGCACAAGCTCGAGTGGACCTCTGAGAGCGCATCAGCAGGGTGCGCCCCGCAGGCGCCCGGGCGTGGGTGGGGTCCCATCACCCCAAGCAGTGCGAGCCGTCTCTGTGGTTCCTTTGATGTGCTCTCCCTGTCGCGGCTGCAAATGCGCACGCCCCCACCCCGCACTGGCTACGCGCACATTGTACAAAAGCCGCTCCAGCCCGGGCCAGGGCGCCACTAACATCAGTTCTCGTCACAAACCCACACGCACACTCTCCCACTGCCTCCGCATGTCAATGAGGCGCACAAAGTCACGCACACACCACACGCACACGCGCGTGGTGCGCGCGTGACTGCGTGCGCCATGTGTGTGTGTGTGCGCGCGCACCCACAAACGCCAGATCGTCCCAGATCATGCCAAATCGTCACCGCCCCTCACCTGTGTTGAGCAGCTTGAGCAGCTCTGCGTCCTCCACCTTCTTCTCCGTCTCCACGGGCTGCTGCGGGGCGACGGTGATCTTGTCGCTGCCGTTGGGCATCAGCAGGACCGTGCCCTTGATCTGGGGGGGGGGGAGCGGGGGTCAGAGCAGGTTTGTGTGTAAGAAAGCGAGAGTGGGTGCACGGGTCTGTGTGAGAGAGAGTGTGTGAGTGTACGTGTGAGTGTGTGTGTCGGATTCGTGCGGGAAATGGTGTTGATAGCAGGCCTGGATGCGAGCGTGCGCACTCACACCCTTTTCCCTCGTCCCCCTCCAAACACACACTAACACACACACACTCTCTCTCTCTCTCGCTCTCACACACACACACCACATATTCCCTCCGACACACAAGCGCCTTGCACCCACACACTCACACCTTTCCCACTCAGACACATGTCCTGAAAATACACACATCAAAACACCACACAAGCAAGCGCCCACCCTCACCCACATCCATCCCGCCCCTCTACACACACGCCCACCTGTGCGACCAGCTCCCCGCCCTTCTCGTGCAGCACGGGGTAGGGGTGCAGCAGGCCGTGCGTGAGGCACTCCACCAGGCCCAGCCGCAGCTGCTTCTTCAGCTCAGACACGTCCTCGCCCTCGCCCTCTGGGGGACGAAATGGGTTCGTTTGTGTGGAGACGTACGTGTGTGTGTGTGTGTGTGTGTGTGTGTGTGTGTGTGTGTGTGTGTGTGTGTGTGTCGGGGTCGGGCTGCCCCCCAGGAAGGGCGGGCACTTGGGGGAGCGGCAGGGGGACACGCACGCACAACGCAGCAGCGGGCGGGGGCCCCGTCGCAGGACGAGCACGGGCGGCGGCGGCGGCACGCGGGTTGGGTGCGCGGGGGCGTTGCGGGCGCGCACCCGACAGCGCGCGCAGGGTGAAGGGCAGCATGGGGAACTTCTTCGAGATCGCGCCCAGCACCAGCCTGGGGATTACGTGATGCAGGGGGGGCCATTAGACAGATCAAAATGTGGCGATTGGAGAATCCTGGGATTGAATTGAGGCCCCTGCGCCACGGCGTGGCCCTTGCGATCGGACGCAGCCGCCTGTACGAGTAAGGTCCTTACATAAATCACGCGCCCAGATCACCAGATCACCAGATCACGTCGTGCGCGTCGTCAGATCACCTGGAGGCCTTCATCTTGAGCTTGTACTCGACGTCCAGGGCCCTCTTGTAGACAGTGGTCTCCTTGTCATCCAGAACCTTGGGCTTGCCCTCGCCTGGCCGGGAGGGGGGAGGGGGAGGGGAGGATGTGCGTGTGCATATGGCATTGTGCGTGCGGGCGCGCATCATTTGTGGAGCGCAAGGATGACGTTGGAGGGGCAGTGCGCGCGCGCATGCGTGTGCGTGCGTACGCGTATCTGTGTTTGCTGAGGTCGCGCGAACGAGGTTGCGGCACCGCGCGTCAACGCCGCGTCTGCAGTTCAGCGAAAACCCTCTCGCGCGTGCAAAGCAATGAGCAATGGACACGACCATCAGCCACGTGCCCCTCTGCCCCCACTTGCACACCCGTGCGCTCCCACGAGGGTGCGCATGCGGACGCGCGCGCACACACACACGCACGCACGCACGCACACACACACACACACACACACGCGCGCGCGCGCGCCCCCCCCACCCGTAGACACCACGATGTCGATGGCGTAGACCTCGTTGGGCTCAAACTCCGCCTCCTCGACCTTCTGATCCGGGGACGGCCGGTTGAGCACCACCTGACATCACAAAAGAAGGTAGAACAGAGGGGCGCGATGGCAGCAGCGGCACGGACGTCATTGCACGCCAACAGGACGAGGGGGCGATAGAGCCGCAGCAGCGGCGGCGGCAGCGGGGGAGAGGCATGCGGCGCGATGGGATGGGGGCCGTGCGGTCCGGGATTTGCGGTGGCGGGAGGAGGGGCCGGGGCCGCGGGGGCTGAGGACGGCAGCGGGGGGTGGCTGGCAGAGGGGCGGCTTGGTCTGCTTCCGCAGGGGTGCGGTGCCGGCAGGCATCGTGACTGGGGGCGCGGCCAGGGCCGGCGCGCCACACCCGCGATGCCCCCAAGATGCTGCTGCAGTGCACATGCAAGCATGGTTTGAGCGCTCAATTGGATGCGCACGAGCGCCCCCCCCCCACACACACGCACAGTCGAACACAGTCACTCACACAGAGTCACACACACAGTCACACACACGCGCGCGCACAACCGCGACGTCGGCGGCGCCGGCCCCGCACCTTGTTGCCGTCGATCACGTACTGCTTGAGGTCGTGAGTCAGCACCCCCTCCACCAGCTGGCAGCCAAAGGGCTCCACCGCCTTGACCAGCTTGTCAGACACCTCAGAGACCTGGGGGAGCGTGTGAATGTGTGTGTGAGTGTGAGTGAGAGAAAGAGAGGGAGAGAGAGTGTGTGTATGATGTGTGTGTGTGTGCACACGCGCGTGTGCGCGTGCGTGTGTGTGCGCACACGAGCGCCCGCGCGCGATCGCGCGGATGGGGCGTTCAAGATGAGTGCAGGGCCAGGGGCGTCCTGAGGCGATGCAGCGGTGGTGGCTGCAGGTCCCTGGGAGGGGCCTCTGCAGGGGCGCCGCAGTCCGCACACCCTGACTTCAAGGACAGCACAGACCTTGACCCGCACGTACGTTTGTATTATGTGTTTGCAAATACGAAATCATGTGCGCATTTGCGCACACACACTCTAGCTCTTGCTCTCTCTCCCTCTCTCTCTCTCTCTCTCTCTCTCTCTCTCTCTCTCTCTCCCCCCCCCCCCCCCCCC